CAAAACTGGGCAACTAATCCTCCCATAACCACACTAGTGACGCGTCCGTGCCACAAGAAGCCCCCTGTCAGACTGACACCATATCGGTTATTATTTTCCGTAAAATTGCCCTGTACGTAGGCCTTGCTCCATGAGTTAATATACTAGCATTTGCAAAGCTATGTAACTTGATTAATCAACCTTGAACTTGTCGTTCATTCAGGGCGCAAATTGAATTGAAATACTTTATTTAAAAAATAAAACATTTAGATATATTAACTTCGCCTGGAGGGTGGTTTTCTGAACAATATGGCATGGCTTAAACAGTACGCAACGGTCCAAGAGGGACGTTGGTTCAATACTTTAAAAAAGTTTTGTTACAATATGAGATGGTTTATACACTCCGCAACGGTCCAGAAGGGACGTTGGTACAATACTTAAAAAAATGTTTCGTTACAATATGGCATAACTTATACATGATGGTTTTCTACAAACAGTGGTTATCTTTAGCACATTAAACTAAAGATCGAAACAATCATACAGACTCCGTTTTAAGATAGGCAGCATATTGCTGCTCGTCAGCTACCGAGTGGAGCAAGGCCTTCTCGAATCCTTTTACGTCACCCATTTTAAGAAGACCTGTCCGCTGTGATCTGAAGTCGCCTCTCCATATGACAACCTCAAACTGTAAAAATCAGAGACAGATCAGCATCAATGTAATTCCTCAAACCCTACCCACTTCAGAAGATACAGCTGTGTTTATAGTTATAGTTAACCATTATCTATTATTAGTGTCTTCTTTATTTCCTTCTTCATTGTGCCAATGAATAAGTGATTTTTCCTCATCAAAATGAGCCTTTTCATAAAATGATAATTGGTTCTGCACAACTTACTTGGTACAGCTTGGCTGCTTTATCTTCTTCCACAAGTCGTCAGTCGTCGACCTCCCTTCCTCGGTAGTTTCGCCCCCATCTCGTCGAGACTTCCTCTGGGAGGCGGGGCAGTGACGGTGGCCAGTCGTCACTCGTTGTGGCTTCTCCAGTTCTTATCTCTGCTCCTAAGCCATGCCCAGCGTGATGCTGCTTCTGCTACTTCTCCTAGCTTCTTCACGGTGTCTTTCCTATTCTTGCCTCTCATCCCTAGAGCCCCCAGTGTTCTCCATACTGACTGGCTGAAAAAAGCTCCGCACCCTACTCCTATCGGGTAGCACTAGGCTTTCCGTCCTTTATCTACGCAGCACTGGCGGAGGTCTCTGTACTCCACCGGTCGTGCCTCCACCGGAATCCCCCTTGTCCTAAAGCAGCAACCTATTAATACATGGCTCAATATCCCTCGTTTGCCGCAGAGCTTACATTCTTCATCACTTTCCTTTCCCCATCTCTTGAGATTTACGGGTTTGGGGAGCAGGTCATACAGTGACTTTAGTAAGAACTGTATTTTTATGGGCTGCCATGCCCAGAGGTCCTTACAGGTTATCTATCTCTCTCTGGCCTGTTCCCATTTTGCTTAGTTGTGACATACAATATCAGACCACAATAACCTCTCTTAAAAAAAAGGAAAATGTATATGGCAAAGGGATCAAGATGTAGGAAGATTGACAAAGTGTACCTTATGTTCACAACAGTGGGGAGACCTCTTGCCATCTTCAAGAACACTCCGAGATACCGTCTCCACAGGCGGCAGACCTGGGCGATTTTGCCGACATTGTGTAATGTCTGGGACCAACCCGCTGCGCAAGATCGTCTTTGTGTTTCTTGACCGTCTTTCTCTTGCCGTTTCCCATCTTTAAGGTTTTGTCTTTACGTTTCTGCATTTTTGGTGAGAACCAAGGCCGATTGGAAGTCCTTGTCGTCGCACCTCCCATTTGGCTGGCTATCAGTGACCACGGACAGCAACGTCTTTTTCCTATGTGATGTTTAAACAAGGGACAGTCTGCCTGGACTTTCCCTTGGTTGCATTATTGCAACCATATATAAGTATCTTTCTGTTGACACTGTCTGGTTGTCGTAGCAATATAACATACACAATGTGTGAGGCTTGTATTATTACGTTGTCGTGAATAGACATCTGTCAACAGCATCGTATTTTTTGAAACATGAAATCAAGACATAATGACCCAACAGCTGCTCATCCTGGAGGATAATCGATGTCGACCACTTACTGGTTGATATTGATAACTGGCTCGTCTTGGATGTTATTATTATTCGGTCAGATAAAAGCGATATTGGTACTTTTAACTCAAAAAAAATCTACCATGTCCGTCACCAACATTAGTTTCTAGATTGAGTCTGTTGTCTTTGCAAAAAAAAATATCTGAAACGGCCAGAAATGTTTTGTGCTGTGATATTTGATACCTTGAAGCATCTGTTCATCGTCAACATTTTTCACTCCTAACATTACCGTTGCCTTTCGGCCGTACGTTCGTGCATCCCCATGAATCTTTAGTTATGGGAAGTCTTAGGCAACCAGTAATATAAAAATGATAAACACTTTAGCAGCCAGTGGCTGTTCGTTCGGGACACAAAATGGTCTGGAATTCTTTTATACGACTGTTTACACAAGTCTACCTCCTTCCTGGATGCAAAAAGAAAAGGTATTTTTTTCTAAGTTTGTTGAATAGCTCATAGCCTTTGAAATTGTCCGCCAGTTATATCAGCTCCTGTGCACTTATGTATTATTGATCACTGTTCTTTGTTGATATCATTTCCAAAGCTGTGTTTCCAGCAGTCTTCTGCTTCTTAGATATCTTCTGCTTAGTAGTTGCTAAATCAAGAACACGTTCAATATCCTCCAGACATAAAGCCTTTTGCCACTGTTCACGGCCTTTCCCTATATTTGTCGAGATATCGTAAGTCATTGCTTGTAGAAAGTTCTCTTTGCAGCCCATACGCACTGTTTCTGCTGTCCTTTTAATCATATTTTGGTGTTGCCTAATTCACTTTTTAAGTGTTGAACAATCGCACATATTCTCATTTTCTTTTCTTTTGATCCATCTCTAAAATATATGATAATGCGGTAGCGGATGGTAAAACTCAAAGTGTAGCAAACAACTCCTCGCGGTCACTGGCGTCCGCCATGGCTTGGGTTCGGCTTGGGTTTCGCGTTAACCGTAAACTGCCGAAAAATCCAGCGTTGAGAGTAAAAGAGACGCAGTATTTGTCGAAGTTGAAGAAGATACACTGAGAGACTTAAGTTGCTAAATATTTGATGAAAAACTCGTTAGTGACACTAATAAACTTATCTTAGCAGGAGCGTGGTGTCAGCGTGACCTGCTCCGCTGCCATCTTGGACAATTACAATGTACACGTCTGCTTCCACGGTGCAGTAGTCGTTCACCACTCTCCCTCCCTTCACCAACAGGCGGTTAGTACCAGGCAGGTCTGCGGTCCGGTCCACGAGAAGCAGTCCACACAGGTAACACGGTTTCACACCTCGGGTTTACCGCCAATTTTCAGGACTAAAACGACCGGTGAGAGGGGAGGCCCCGGTTGTTCTGCCTGTAACCTATGTACTCTATGGAGAGAACTTCTATGTGACCCTGGCAAAATATGCCATTTATCTATCATGGCTCAGATATAAAGATAATCCAGAATTACTTAGAAAACACAAAGTTTGACATATATTTACCACCTAGAAACAAGACGTACACAATATTAGTTTGTAGTCTCATATATGTTTGCTACGTCAGTGTATGTACTGTATGTTCATTTCCAACATGACTGATTGTAAAAGTTAATACGCTGTACAATTAGTAGTGATTAACCCTTAAGTTCCCAGCATGATGTAATAATTGCCTCCGGGGAAGCAGACATCCTTCCGCGGAAGGGCTTTGTAAGAGATTAGGATTTTCAGTGAGGAAACCACATAATGTTTGAGCAGATCTGGTTTCCTAGGCCATGTCATTTCGATTCAATGTGGGTAGAACTGAGAGCCCCGATTCTGTTCACCAATGGACGATGGCATTTTATGTCAAAGCAGATGAAAGAGAAGGCACGAGGTGTCAGTCTCTTTAGCTTTGGGATGAACAGGCGCACGGTATGGAGGAACGCTTGGTTGTGGAGGAGAAGTATTTTACATTGACATCTTCTTCAGCGGGGAGGTGAGACAGGAGCTGGATTTCGACTAGAGGAGATAGGTTCTGTGACGTGTGGAGGCTCTGTCTCATGCAACAGTTAGAGTAACAAGGGTAACGCGATAATCACAGCACATTGTCATCAAGAGGGGAGCTATTTCCGGAGACCGTGGATTTGACCACTTTTCGTGGTGAAATCCTCGGCCGAGAAGGGACTTAGTCATAACGCCGCCGTAGCAGAATTTATGACTAAGTTCCCCCACGGCCGAGGACTTCACCACTAAAAGTGGTCAATTCCACGGCAACGGACTTAGAAATAATAATCACCGTCCGGCCGTGGAATTGACCACTTTTCTTGGTGAAATCCTTGGCCGAGAAGGGACTTAGTCATAACGCCGCCGTAGCAGAATTGATGACTAAGTTCCCCCACGGCCGAGGATTTCACCACTAAAAGTGGTCAATTCCACGGCAACAGACTTATCGTCATTGAGAAGCAAGTTTATTTTGAAACAACCCATACAACTGTTCAGATCATGTTCTGCAAATTGTATAATTGTATAGCACTATATTAACAGTCGTATCCAGTTTTATCAACTATACAGTTAACATGGTCATACGATCAGTCCATTCAGTTACGATCAGTCCATTCAGTTCAATTCCTGTTTTATCGCGAAAGAGCTGCACAAAAGTCAAGTTCTTTTTAATTTATAATGCTTCGCTATTTACATCGGCGTGTACGGCACTTTCGGCACGCGAGTCCTCTTCTCCGCCGGAGTCGCCATAACATGCGCGGGTCGCCGCCTCCGCTTTCTCCGGCGGATGACTGGACTCTCCTCGTCGTCACTGTCGGTGTCGTTGGTGGGTTTGGGGTCCGTCGAGTCGTTGTCGACTTCGATGGTGACGTCGTCATCAGATGAGCTGGAGTCGTCATCACACGAGCCGGGGGAGTCGTCATCAGATGAGCTGGTCGAGTCTTCATCAGATGAGCTGGTCGAGTCGTCATCAGATGAGCTGGAGAAGTTGTCATCAGACGAGTCGGGGGCTTGTGTGGGGCACTGCTGGTTGGGATCGATGTTCGTGCGCCTAGGGTGTCCACCTTTGTAGTATGTGTTAGGGTCGAACCCCGTCTCGGCGATGGCACACTTCACTACTGTCTGCAGGATCCGCTGCCACTCACCTGGAAGTTAGGCACGTGTCTTACTAACAATGGAATCGATACAAGTATTGCAATAACAATAAAACAGTTATCTTATCGTCGATGAATGGTTCGATCCCTACTTTCAATTCCTCACCTGTTTAACTTTTATCAAGCACAATGACTTTTACACACACAAAAGACACATATTATATGGATACATGGTCAATATCTCACCTCAGATGCCTGTTGCTTTCCGCCTGCATTTGGTCTTGATGTCAAACATCACCCCTGCAAAAATTGTGACAGAAGGTCATTATAAATGGTATATATTTGTTTAGTTAACTGAAGGTTAGATAAAAACTCTTTGCAATGCTGGACATTATTAGCAAGAGACACGAACAATCTGTGTATTTTTTTACATGCCAACAATTCTTCATTGTGAACAAGATTATTTATTGTGGGCATGTATCTTTTTATTTTACATTTTATCTTACTACACAATGAAAAAATTTAAACACATAGTGGTGACGCACTCAGCAGAATTCTTATATTCACGTCACCACCTTATTCCCTGGTAATATTCTAATTCTAATAATGGAGTATAGCGTGTGTCGAATCTTTTCTCGAGTTGCTGTATATTGTCGGTTCAAGCTCTTATCTGTTGTGTTTGTTGTCTGTGCTCATTGTCACTTCTGTGGGGGGGAGCAGTTTTCCCTATCAAAGCCAGAATAGTTGGTACTTGTGCCAACTCGTTAAAAAAGTTTTTTTTTTTTTACATTTTCAACATCCCAACACAGCGTGTACTAAAAACCCATACAATTTCCGTGCAGCAGAAATGTCTGACGCGCAACAGAGAAGCGCGGCACGGAACCACGTGGGATAGTACGGAGAGTTGTAAGTTTTGAATGAGACACCCTGCTCAAAAACTGTAACTCTGTAACTATGGGATCTAGGAATGAACTGAGATGTTTTGGTTCATGTTCTAAAGCAAGCATCAATCCAACTAAAAGGACAATCTCTAACCTGAACCTTTCAGCACCTGGCAAATTTATGACTGTCATGCAGATAACACCGACGGAATAATCGTTTCTACGCTTGAAAGGTTGAAACCAATCTACGTTCATCATCAGTGCATGGTTTCTGGGAGCTGAAAGGAAATCTCCCAATTACATTTAGCGAAATCTTACCAAACTTTTCCTTCAGAAACGTCTCCAAACAACCCAGCCTGAGATACATTTCGTTCCCTCCATGCTTCACACTTGTCTTTGAAACCCTGTTTCTGTACAAACACTTCAAGCGTCTCAATAATACTTTTTTGAAACTTTTAAAGGATAAAATACTTTTCTTTTAGAAACTGATGGTCTGACCCGATGTAACGGTATTATATTTTGCGTTCCTTTTCTCACCCTTCGTATGTTATCACAGCGCCTTGTACAGTATCAGTTTTATACAGCCGATCCATGGGAAATAGCTTACAACATTTAGGATCCGGACAGATGCAAAACTTCTAAAAGTTATCTCTGCCGATTCCTAACAGTTTCCATGTCATATACAAAGACGATAAGCCCCTCAAACATTGTGTATCTATACCTAATGCCTCAAACACAGGATACAGGAATGACATGAGGTGTTCTAAATTATTGTCACTTCTGTGAATGTGAGCCTGCCGTATCACTAAAAACGTTAAGAGCCATGTTAAACACGGTAACGATAGGGTCGGGTCTCGCAACTTTTGTCTAGGGCTTCGCCGCCTTTACTGCAGAACTGTACAAGTTCCTTAAGAGCTGCTGTTCCTCGTCCGAACCACCCCATTCTTCCTCACCCTCACTGCTACCGTTGTATGTGTCGTCTTCCTCGGACCTATGGATATCGCTTTCTTCCTGCAGAACGGAATGATAGATAGCTATGAGCCTTTCCTGGTTAATTTGTAACCAGTTTACCAACCGAATACCGCATACCTTGCCTCGCGGAGGGGTTTCAGTTTGGATTTGGGGTTTTGAATAATATTTGCTTGTTTTGTAATATGAGAAAAAAAAAAACGATCAAAGCAAGAAAAAGCGAACTGGCAGACGGTCACATGTCTCGTTACACTTATAATCATGAAGGTTAATAAGTGACTGGTAGCCTCTTCTTCATGTAAAGAGCTTTGATGTTGAGGACTGCAGTTGATTCCTCAGCTTTCTTGGTCTTGTAGGGTGTTCGCCCCTTGCCAAAGCTGCTAGCATCCCCTCCGTTGTCAGCGACTGCGACTGCGGTGAAGAATCGTCAGGGGCGACCAGTACCTTCTTCTGGCATCTGAATTGAAACCAACTCTACAAAGAAATCGTCTTCGAGAACAAAATCTTCCTTACTTTGCATTACCTTCTTGACCTCAGAAAGTATGAGCTCAGGGTTCATGTCGGATTTATTCACAAGTTTAGTGGAAATTGGTTTGTCGAGGCTTTTGGAGTTAATTACAATACGCATCTTGTCGTTGTCTTCAAGCTCCCTACCAACATGATCAATCATTGCATCAAACATGTCATGTGAAACCTCTTGAACATCAGTATCATTCAAGCGTCCGTCCTGCGGTATTGACGCACGCATGGTGACCTGGTTAGCGTTGAATTTCTTGTTAGGGACTTGTCTAACTTCTTCTATTCTGAAGTACTGTTGTGAGTTTGCGGGTTCTTTATTTTCCTGCTCAATCTCGACGTCTTGGTTCTGTCCTACATTTGCATCGCTAAACTCCTCTTCTTTCCAGTCAACACCTTCTAAGTCTACTGCCCCTAACCCTAATTGCGGCTGACTATCGTGTACAACTTGACTCTGCGTAAAATCGGATTCCCAATCTATTCCTTCTAAATCTAAACCTACGAGCCCTACCCCAGACTGTGGTTGGCTACTGTTTGAGAGAGAAAGAGATACAATACACACCATAAATAACTAGAACTAAGCGCGTTTAACGTGGAACTATACAAAAACATTCTACCCGTTACCCTCGATTTGTATGTAATCAAAAATATGCTAACACTACGAATCTACATGTTTGGGAGAAACTCTGCGCAGAACGAACATTCGTTTGGGGACCTAATCAAGAAATAGAGAAAACATATAGCGACATAAGCAAACTTAGATATTAACGGGCAAATACGAAACGCGACAAACTCAAAACTCCTTAGGCTAACACAACCATTATCACACTACCAGTAAGAATATTTTTACTCACTTTTGGGATGTCTCGGGTTGCGTGTACCAGTCCCCCTCACTCCTGTCTTGGGACCAGCTTATGGCTTGCAGGTCGTCCTCCAGTCCGAAGTCTTCGTCTGTCGCCAGAATCACCTTCCGGCACCAGCGGTCCTGGGTAAATGTAGTCAATTGTATTCTTAACATGTGTACGAGGGGTGATCCAAAAGTTGTCGGCCTCTCCCAAAAAACGTAATGGCAGAAAATTTTTTCTTGCACTATTTTTTAACATAACTTTAATGCACTTGGTCTAGTGATGTTCCAGCTTTCCTTTCCCTTGTGGAAGAATATTTCGTCTGAAGCCCTTAAAAATGCCTAAGCCACATCAATGACGCCATCATCACCATGAAAACGTTGACCACGTAAGTGGAACTCCAGTTTAGGAAACAGGTAGAAGTCCCACGCTGCTAGGTCAGGTGAATAGGAAGAGTGGGGTAAGACTTCAAAGCTACATTCGTTTGCTGCTGTCACTGACCCCTGTGCTGTGTGGACATGTCCATTGTCAGCAGATCAACTCGGAGCTTTTCTCCCCTTTTCTCTGTGATTGTTGCCCTCAACTGTCGCAATTCTGGTGCACAGTACACCCCATTGATGGTTTGACCCTTTTGCAGGTAGACAATAATGATTACCCCCTCACTGTCCCAGAAAACAGAGGCAAAAACCTTTTCAACGGGTAAAACTCGCTTGGGATGCTGGGAACCGTTTTCCATCAATTATTTGCTCTGCTGTTTTGATTCGGGGTGAAACTGGTGAACCCATGTCTCATATTGGGTGACAAATCGTTTGAGTAAGTTGCCTTCATGGAATAAATTCGTTCCTTGAAATGTCCAGCCTTTTTAACGTGTGATGTTCAGACAACATTCTAGGCACCCATCATGCAGACAGGTTTCTCATCCCCAGGATGTACGACAAAACATTGTGAACTGTACCACAAGTCAGGGCAAAGACATGTTGGACAGTCTCACATCTGTCATTTACTACCATGTGATGGATGACCTCAACTGGATTGTCCATGGTGCTGATTTGTGGCATCCTAACATATGTTCATCTTTAGTGCTCTTCTTGACGCGCTTAGAGCTAGCAACCCAGTTCGTTGTGGTTAAATAAGAAGGGGAGTCATCACCAAGTGACTTGATCAAGTCTTTATGGATTTCCCTAGAAGACATAGCTTTTTATCGATACACTTGATGACAGCACACGCTTCTGGTGAGGCCATTTTGTGATTTGCCCTCACCCGCCCCATTTTCACGGGACGTCACGTGCTAAATTAATGAATGTAAAAATTTGCATTTTTGTGGGCAGTGATGTAAGACGTCATAGTATACAGTTATACCAAAGAATACGCGTTTGACCCCTATTTTTTAGGTGAGGCCGAGAACTTTTGGATCACCCCTCGTATGTACAATCAGTGGGTATTGCTCACTACAGCACATTAGGCCACACCGATTTAATTTTATGGATGACATCCGCGCGCGCATTGATTTTCGCCCGATCTCAAAAAAAAAAAAAAAAAAGATCACGTATTCCGAGGCTCTGGCCTGGCTTTAGGCCTGGGTAGTGCATGGTGGTGATAACTCTGGTTGACGGCAGCCAGGCTACCGAAGCTCCAAGACTCAAGAACTCAGTACATACGTACAGCAGTGTCGGTTCATATATTCCGCAAAAATCCAGCATGTGTCGGCCTATCGTATACGTCGCTATGTAATGCGCCAAATTCACAATACCAGGTTTGTATTCCTGTGGTTTTGTAGCATTTTTATTTTTGGCCGGATTTTTATTTTTTTCGCCCGCGCGCACTAGTTTGGGGGTCTTCAGAGGATGTCATCCATAATATTAAATCGGTGTGGCCTTATATAAAAAAACAAAACAAAAGAAAAACTGACTCCACTGTACTTCATCTCCATCCTCCGGCGTTTCCTCGACTGCTTCCTCATCTGTCACCAGGTCCGGCAGGTCCGGCAACTCCAGGGTAAATTGAGTCAGCTGACTCCACGCTACGTCGTCGACCTCGTCCCCCCCGACACCCTCCTGGGTGAACGGAGTCAGCTGGCTCCATTCTATGTCGCGTCCTTCTTCTTCTTCAGCCGTTTCTTGTGTAAAAGACTGAGACCACTGGACGCCATGAAGGTCTACCCAAGGCGAATCGCCTTCCCGCGGCTCGTCCTGCGCCCAGTTGATGTTGTCCAGATCTAGCGAAGCAAGGATCTCTTCGTAGCGAGACCTAGTATACAAAATATAAAGAAATATTGTGAATAAATACAGGATATCGAAGTG